GCCAAGATGTTCTTACCTTTCAGAAGTTTCTTCTCACAGTTAGCCAAAACTTGGCCTCCCAGTTCAAGACCTACCCTCGCTTCCTTCATAGCAGCTTCATCAAAGGCCAAATCTCACGAGATTTTGATTTCCCAACATGGTGCTTCTGGCTGCAGTGATGTCCACAAATTCTAGGACAGTTGGAAGAGGGAGGCATATTTTTAAAAGATGTGTATTTATGGAAGCCTGACTGGCATTTTGCTGCTCTCCCAACATGCCCAGTTTGTAGAAGCTCCTATTTAAGGGGGGTTTTGTGTAAGTTGCTGGTTATTACAGGTTACAGTGGTCTTCTTTTCATTTGCTTATATTTTATTTCAGTACCATCACAACACTTTCAAGCAAAATATTCTCTGGCACATCCTATGGCCCCTTACACAGCATCTAGTGGGCCAAAGGATTCTTTCAATTCCTAGATATGTGTGTGTGGAAAAGGGCTCTGATCTCAGAGTCACATGTGTTTAGATTTTCTACCCACCACCTAACAGTGGGCATGGAAAGAACTGTGTTGGCTATTTTTCTGGAGCTGCAAGACTGACCTTGCAGAAGGGAGGAAACCAGAGCTCTTGAAGTGCTCCAGCTGCCTTCCTTCCCTGTCCAAGGCATCCCTGTTAGACAGCCAAAATTGGCTGTTTAGTTGACTTGCAGCATAGAAAGAGTCAGAGCTTAAGATTGGAGGTTTATGGGCATTCCCACCGAACGCTGCCATAAGAGGTCCGCAAAATCATATTTCAATCTGGAAGGGCCGGAGTATGGCACACCCAAAATAGCTTCGATGAAATGCTTCTGGGTTGGCCTAACTTTTAGCAGCCTTCATATAGTGGGTAAGCTTGCTCATTAATCACGGGCCTGGCCGCTTCTTAAACCAAGCCAAGACCAAAATATCCACAGGATGTTTCCACTGGTTCGTAATGCTCTTCCTGCCACTGGGGGCATAAAAATAATGTTTCTGCAATTATATCAGAGGTGGAGAACTTTAAGCTGAGGTATAAAGACAGACCTCTGGGGGAGTCCTAAAATGTCCCTATGAGGTTTCCTAGAAGGCCCTACTCCGCTTTTCACCAACCACTGATTTTTTTCTCTTTTTTGGAGCTCCCCTCCCCCCCCCCCATTCTAAAGTTTGAAAAGATTCTCCTAATACGTAATTACTGGCAGCAAGTTAAACTGTTCTGTTACAGGAATAACACACAGGCCTCTTTTCAAGCTGAAAAAGGTTCTGCCATCCTGATATAAATCCTTTGGGAAAATACCCAGAATTGCAAGTAACTTTGGTGATGTTTGGTCTGGTCTTATTGTACATTTCTTGGAAAACTTTGCCCACAAATGCAGATACTGTTTTTTAAACATGTACCCTGGACCAAGAGAAGTTCAAACAAGTAGGTCCTAGATCAAATCAAGCCAGGAGTTGCCCTGGAAGCAAAACTGACAAAATGGAGGCTGTTGTACTTCAGACGTATCTTGAGAAGGCAAATCACACTGGAGAAGACCAGAGAGGTTTGCCTGGCACCAAGTTTATACTCTTTTCGGTGCCAGGTCAAAACCTTTTTATTTAATCGTTGTTTTAAAAATTAGCATTTTAATGTTTAACAGTTGCTTTTTATTTTATTGTTTTATGTTATTATATTGTTATAGATTGTTTTATTGTATTTTGATTTTAATGATTGTAAGCCGTCCTGAGATGCCATGCATAAGGGACGGCATATAAAAGTTTTAAATAAAATAAAAGTTTCCCTAAAATAAATGTTAGGGAAAGTCACCAGCATTAAGAATTAAGAGTTCAACTGTGAGATAGATTGATTTGATAAAGGAGCCTCCCAAGAGCTGCACAGGACTTGTGAAGGACAAGACATTCTGGAAGGCATTCATTCATTCAAAGGGGTGCTGAAAGTCGGAGACTTGACCGTACGTAACAACAATAAACACTGCTCTGAAATTTTTCATCAAAACTTTATGAAGTTTTCTGAATAGTACGAGTTTCACTGAATGGAATTAGCTGCAGCAATTCAATCCAGTAATGATCAGGCCGCCATTTCTGAGGGCTTCGTTAAACCAGATACAGCGGTACCTCAGTTCACCAACTTAATTCATTCCACGATTCTGGTCGTGACCCAAATTGGTCCCAAACCAAGTCAAGTTCCCCCACAAGGTTCAATGTAAATAAGGTTAATCCGTTCTGACCCCTATGAATGTGGTCGCGAGCCAATTTTGGTAGCGAACCAAGTCAAATTTGCCCATAAGGTTCAATGTAAATAAGGTTAATCCTCTGTAAATATTTCTTTATCACAAAAATTTGAAACCAAGTAACAAAGTACAGTAGAGAACACTAACCTGGGGGGGGGGGGGGGGGAGATTTGGAGGGAGAGTCCCCCTCTATAAGGACATGGGGAGCTCTCCTTCAGGGGTTTCCTCTCGTTTGTCTCTTAGCTGCAGGGTCAATTTTGGCGAAAAAGCTGCACGTTCTGGTCACCTGCATTACCGCTCTGCCCATTCTTTTTACCACCATGCTTGCGCTGCACTTTCTTTGGAGCTGTTATTTAGTATTATTATTGAATACTACCTCACAGTACTGTATGTGCTAGAAAGCGCACAAAAAAGCTTCCCAGCAAGTGGCCACAGGCCCGTCTGCAACTGCGAGCGGGGAAGATGGCCGTGATCGCAATCGTGTTCGCGCAGGGAAGACGGCTGCCATCAAGATCATGTTCGTGAGGGAACATGACCGGGACAGTGCTCATCACCCGATGCGGAGTTCGCGGACGGAGGCAAAACTTTTCTGAAATTTTCGTTCGTGAACCGATCTGGTCATGAACTGAGGCGTTCGTGAACCGAGGTACCACTGTACATGCAACACACAACCCATGATTTTACTGAGAAGTTCCTTTGCATTTCATGAAATTTTTCGCCAGGTACACATGTATAGGATTGCACCCTAATTCTATATATGTACAGCCTTCATACTAGGAAAATACATGTTTCTTTACTGCTACTCTCTTAAGCAGTCCTTCAAAAACAAAGTGAAAATTGGTTGGCATTTTCAGCATTTGATGGGTGACCTTTTGCCTTGACAAATAGAGTATTAGTGAATATCCCATGCTGTCAGGCACATGATAAAACCCTATTTGCTCTGTTATTTGAATTCACCATATTATTACAACCTTTCCTACCTCCTGTTATATTCACTTGCACTCCACAAGTATTTCTCCTTGCGGTGAATAATGCTCCCCCGAACAATGTTGCTTTGTTCAGGATTTATTAATTACCAACAGAGATCGAGATGAGATATGCCTACAAAGAGGCATTCTTCCGGTCAAATGCATGCTTTTCTGGTAAGTCCTGCTACTGAATTTTTGAATATCCAGAAGAATTGATCTGCACAATTTCTCCAGGAGTAGGCTGCTGTTAAGCTTCTTGGATATGAAGATGACAGGTGGAAATAATCCAAGCCAGCAGCTGATGACACATACCTATTAATTACTGCATTTATTCCCCAGCTTTTTGTCATTGTGCGAGGAAAGCAAGGCTGCTTACAGAATCCTCCTCTTCTCCATTTTATCCTCACAACAACCCTGTTAGGTAGGTCAGGCAGAGAGCCGGTGACTGGCCCAAAGTCACACAGTCAGCTTCATGGCCGCGTGGAGACTTGTGCCCAGATCTTCCGAGTCCCAGGCAAGCGCTCCAACCACAAGAAGAAACTCAAGACCAACAGCCGGCACTTGGTTCAGGAAACAGCAGTCTTCCTTGGTCGCCGGCCAAACGAGACGCCTCTGTCGGACAACCCACCCCGGTGGTATGCAAATTTGACCACATTCCCATGTTGGGCAGAGCAGGGTAACAAGACGAGGTGGCGGAGGAGGGAGGAACAAAAGGGAGCATCTTATTCCAACTGGAATCGAGCAAGTTTGTGGGGGGTCAGCAACCCTATATGCTGATCTAATTCCGCTCCACCGGATTAAGCAAAAAAGCGAAGCCAAGCATGTGAAATCCCATGCGGTGTTTGCTTCACACCCTTGGACAGACTTATGTATATCCCAGGAAAAGTCAAGGAGAGAACAAGGCGTACCCTCCAAAGATGGTTTCGGGAAACGAAGTGGGGGGCCCTAGGAAACCTTCACCCCCACACACACTTTGACAACATTGCTGTTGTCGAAAGAAGCAGCACAGCTGGCCCTTGGTCACCTTTCAGCCCTCAGTTTTATAGTGTTGGTCTCTATCCCCGCCTCTTCCTCTTTTGATTGGCTCTTCTGACAGCTTCCCCGGGGTCTCAAAGCCCACCTGTCCAGTCTCAATCGCTCTACCCTCCTCGTCCCTTCTGCTTAAAAGGAGTGCTTCATGTCCCAGCCCGCACATGTTGTCAGGATGATGGCTTCTGGGTTGTAACCAGGGAGGAGATAATCCATAAACTGCACAAAAAGTGCCTAGCGTTGAATAGCTCTCCTGGTCACCCAAGGCGAACAGAGAGGCCATGTAGGCGAGTGGGAAGGGTGGCAGAAGAAACGGGATTGTTCTATGCTTTGGGCATTTCATCCTCCAGTCTATTTGGCAGAAGACACATTTCCTGCTAACCCACCAGTGAATTAGCAGCCTGCCTGTCTAAGCTGGCCACCAAGAAAGGGCTTTCCCTCCCTCCATGACCACCATGGAAAAGCCAGTGAGTAGCCCTGAACAGGCTAGAAAACTGTCTGTGGGTTCATAAGCCTTTTGGATTTATTCATGAGGCTGCACTGAAATGAAAATTGATCCCGATCGGCACATTCCAGACATGGACTCCTTCAGGGGCCGCCAATGAAACAAAAAACAGTGGTTATTTTCTGCGCGCTCTGTTTCAGGGATGGATGGATGAGTAGAGGCGCGAGCTGAACCTACCGTCTGATCAATGGATCCTCATCGGCAGCTCAGCTAGAGCTCTGAGCTCCCAGTTAATGCCAGCAAGAATCCAGCAGACCCCATTCCTCGAACAGAGTCTCTGATACAGCCTGGCATTAGCAAATCATGCTTGTACCATGCACAAGGGCGGAAAATAGCTGCCCCTGCTCCTCCAGACTTGATTTTTTCTGCCTAGCCCCACATACAGCCCGCTCACCCCCAGTCTGGCTTCCAATCTTCCACTACAAACTGATTGTGTGTTCCAACCTACAATGGCAGCAATGAGGACTAGCAGCTTGCTTAGAAAAACAAAAAACAGGAGGCTCCCAACATGCTGACTGCTGCTTCAGATCCCAATTGCAGCACACAGCACAGAAGTTAGTAATTGACAGGGAAAAAAATTGTAGGTACACAGGGAAAGCAAGCCCTGTATAATTCTTCATGGAATGAATGGAAAAAAGAAGAGTCAAAGAAGCACATTTTGAAAGAACTCGCTTGCCACTTGCCTGGGGAAGTTAAGAATCGATTCCTAGTGACCAGGCCATCACAAACATGCTTCACTATAAATAACCCCACTCCGTGTGGAGAAGGACACACATATGCCCCGTTCTCATGTCCTTCTGAGTCACAATCCTTTGCGTGGTTTCACCCGCTTCGTCCTTTGCAGGAAGCCCAGCCTCGGTGGCACCAAAGCTTTTCCCGTTATCGGCGGGTTGTGGGAACAGTTTCTGCCTCGTGTGCCTTCTCTCGTGCGTGCTGCAGTGGGACCTCTGGCTGAAGCTTTTGCCACAGTCCAGGCACTTGAATGGCTTCTCCCCCGTATGGGTCCTCCGGTGCCGAACAAGATCCGAGCGGTGGCGGAACGTCTTCCCGCAGTCCGAGCAATTGTACGGCCTCTCTTTAGCATGCATCCGCTGGTGCCGGCTGAGAAGCGAAGGCTCACTGAACCTCCTGCCGCAATCCGGGCACCGGTAGGGCTTATTGCTTGCTGTGTGGGTCCTCTTGTGCACAACCAGGTTCGAGCTGTCGCTGAAACCCCGGCCGCAATAGGAGCACTTGTACGGCTTCTCACCCGTGTGCGTCCTCCGATGGCGGACCAGGTAGGAGTTCTGGCAAAAGCTTTTCCCACAGTCCAGGCACTGATAGGGCTTCTTGTCTGCATGAATTCTCCGATGTGCTATGAGGTTGGAGCGGTCGCTGAAGCTTCTCCCGCAGTGGAGGCACTGGAAGGGCCTCTCCCCTGTGTGGGTTCTCCGATGTTTAAGGAGGTCGGAGCTCCGGCCAAAGGACTTCCCACACTCTGTACAAACTTTTTTCCTCCTATCCTTGTGGAGCCTCTCCTGGGCAGTGGGGCAAGGAACTGGTTTGCACTCTCTTCCCCCTAAGGGGCTGTTGTACCGATTCTCTGATTTGCATTCATTCTGAAATGCGCCCAGCTGCTCCTGGCACAGAAAGCTTCCCCCGCCAAAGGTCCCGGGTGGCTCCGTTTTCTCTGAACATTTCAGCTGAGGTTTCTCCTCCTCATTCTCACTCACCCATCCATCTCCTGCTGGAAATTCAGAAAAAAGAGACACGCACACTGGTCATTCGACGAAACAAAGCCAAAGAGGATCCGGCCACAGCAATGAATGCCCTGGTAATGAGTCTGCTTCACGGGGCTGCCCTTGAAAGGCAGGTTTGGAAACCGCCCTGCTGCAAAATGTCAGAGCCAGCTTGTTCTCTGGCTTGCATGTTTCAGGTCACACCTTATGTCACCTACACTAGTTCCAGGTTCACTTCTGAGCCGGATTCAAGGGGCAGGTGCTTCTCTGCAAGTCCCTAGGCAGCTTAAAAACTGCTCTGGCTCAGAACTGCAAACAGTCCATCTTCACACAATCTGCGAACATAATCGACGTTCTCACGCTTAAGTCATTTCTAATAGTTTGGGGGGCGGCGGGGCAAAGTTTTGCTCCAGAAAAGCCCTTTGAACTGCTCTCCTGAAGCAGGGACACCCCTTCTGCTTCAAGCAGCAAATCCCCGACAGAAGCCCCGTACATGTGGCCCAGCCCTGCTGCAAGCGATGGGCCACACGGGAATCTCCGGAAGAGCGGAGGACACCCCTAGTCCAGCGTTGTGCTCGCACAGCAGCCAGCCGCTCCCCCAGGGGGACACTCACAAGCAGGAGAGAAGCGTGGGAATACCATGCTACCCACGGCCCCCAGAAACTGGGTCAGGCCTAGGCTGACATCTGGGTGGGTGACTTAAGTGCTGTGAACTGCACAGAGAGCTCTGGTTATAGGCGGTATAGAAAGATAACCATAACAACCATAACCATAACTGCTCCGAGAGTGGAGGAAACATATGACCATGAGAACTACCGCGTTTCCCCGAAAATAAGACCAGGTCTTATATTAATTTTTGCTGCAAAAAACGCATTAGGACTTATTTTCAGGTGATGTTTTTTTTTCAAGTACAACAATCTACATTTATTCATGCGCAAAAATATACTTTTATTCAAATACAGTCATGTCATCTTCTTCTGGAACATCGTTATAACTCTCCAAACCCCGAATTGTGTTGCCATGGATGTACTAAATGTGTCTTTCTGGCTGACAATCTTAACTGGGGCTTATTTTTGGGGTAGGGCTTATATTATGAGCATCCTGAAAAATCATGCTAGGGCTTATTTTCCAGTTAGGTCTTAATTTTGGGGAAATGGGTAGTAGCCAAGGATAGACCTCTCTATGAATGTGTCCAATTCCTTTTGAAAGCTGTCCTAATCAGTAGTCCTTCCTATTCTCTGTCCTGAATCTTCCACCCATCAGCTTCACCGGGTGGCCCCTTTGGGTTCTAGGCTTCAACCCACAATCAGGTCCAACCCCCGACTCAGTGCAGGACACCCAGTTAAACCATCCCTCTCAGATGGCTGTCCAGTTGCCTCCTGAAGGCCTCCAGTGGGGCAGAGCCCACTGCCTCCCTGGGCCGTGGAACCCATTCTTATACTGCTCAAACAATCCGGAAGTTTTTTCTGATATCCAGCCCGAATCTGCCTTCCTGTAACTTGAGCCCATTATTCTGTGTCCTGCCCTCTGAGATGATCAGGAAGAGATCCTGGCCCTCTTCGGAGTGACAGCATCTCAAGCGCTTATAGAGCATGATTCTCTCTCCCCCAAACTACTTTTCTCGATGCTGAACATGCACAGTTCTTTTGATCTCTCCTCTCAGGGCTCTGTTGCCAGTCCCCAGATCACCCTTGCTGCCCTCCTCTGAAGCCTTCCCAGCTGGTCTGTCTCTTTCTTCAACTGTGGTGCCCAGAATTGGACGCAGTGCTCCAGGTGAGGTCTGACCATGACAGGAGAGACCAACGACTCCCAATACACTTTCCAGACACAGTATTTCGTACACCTCTGTTATCGACCCTTCCCTGCCTGGTTCGAAGGCTAAAGAATCTCAGCGGACTGCAGAGTTTTCCCACTGCTCTTACACGGGTGCTTTTGTCAATTCCCTGTAGGACAAGACCTCTGACATCATAAGAAAGTCTCACCCAGAGAACTGGCATCGCCATCACTGTCGTGTTTGGCTTCCCTGTAGAGCTGCCACTGCCGGTTGCCTGGCGGAACCCGCTCGGCTCTGGAGACATTCCCGGGAGCTTCCAGGAAAGACCTCGGCACCTAGAAGAGCGACAGGTGAATGGCTTTGGCTGGCTTCGCATTAACACTGACAGCCAGCACATTTAGTGCACTGCTAAATGCAAGCAACCAGGACCTGAAACGTCCCCAGGGAAAGGCATAACGTGAAATTTTTACTATCACATTTTCATTCATTCATTCGTTCATTCATTCGTTCATTCATTCAACTTATATTCTGTTATGCTAGTCTGAAGAATCTCCAGGCGGATTACAATACCACATAAAATAACAATAACAAAATCAACATACAATAAAGCAGAGAAATATGCAGTCAAGGAACTCAAGGCACTTTCCGTAGTTGAGTTTTACCCTCACCACAACAACCCAGCAATGTAGGGCAGGCTGAGCGTGAGTAACTGGCTGTTACCTTTTGAGCTTCACAGGCGAGCAGGGACTTGAACCCGGCTCTCCCAGGTGCCTAGTCCACCACACCACCCTCGCTGGCTCTCTTCTGGGCACATCCTTTCTTCTATGAAACTTGAACCCAGGCCTGCTTACACCCTCAAGCATTTCACGTTCCAGGTGGGGATCCTAGATTTGCCAGGTGGCAACTTCCACAGCTTACCTGGCCTCAGACTCTGGCTCCCCATGCCCTGCTCCAGGGCTACAAGTCGGACGGACTCTCTGGGCCACCAGGTGGAAAGCCTTCCTGGGCAGAGTGTTGCTGCTCTATAGCGCTGCACGGTGGCGGGAAGAGGGACTGCGGCCAGCGGAATCTGGGGAGCCAACAGGAGCCCAGATGTCCATATAAATAAGAGCTCCGGGAAGGGCTGGAGCTCCATTCTGAGGGTGGCTTGCGACAGAAGGTGCTGAACCTATTTGCTCTGTCGAAGGAGCGAAACCAATCTGCTGGACAACTACCTCGGCATCCTGTTCTAAAACCTGACCACCAGGCTGATTCCAAGACTGTTGGCCTTTGACCCCAAGAAAATGTTTGGCTGGGGTTCCTTTTTCCAAATGCATCCAAAGTGGAAGCATAAAAGGAAAAAGGATGAGTGAGTGATGCATGCGAAGAAGGAAAAAGGGTCCAAAACGGGGACATGGCAGTTAAAAGTGCTAAGCAAAGGCCAGGGTGGCAGAGGGCAGCGTTCAAATCCACAGGTGGCCATGAAGCCTACTGGCCACAGCACTGCATCTTTGCACGCTCTCTCTCTCTCTCTCTCTCGCTCTCGCTCTCGCTCTCTCCCTCCCTCCCTCCCCCCCGCCCAGCCTATCTCAGAGGGTCGTTGAAATACTAAAATTGCAAGGGGAACTGGGAGAGCTTTGCAATTTATGGTAGGCTGCTTGGAAAAGAAAGAAGGGCATTAAAAATGAACGCAACAATACATAGGCAGAACTTGGTTAATCCCATCCTGGCACTTTTTGAACTCTTAGGTTGGCTAAGTGATGGAAAGAACTGGAACAGATATATGAGAGCCGGCCAAACACAGGTGAAAATGAGCCAGCTGGACCCAGTGTGCCAAACTTCCAGGTCAGGGTCCAAATTCGGCCCTTTCAGGCATTCCCGATGACCATGCCTCATTCTCCCGGTTCTGTCCCCTCCCGACTTTTGGCCATGCGGTAGTTTTGCAACTTGTGTGCAGTTTTTGTCCCCATAATCTAAATGCTAGAAATGCCTTTTCAAAGCTTCAGTTACTGCCAGGAAGAGATAGGAACCAAAAATATGCTGGTATTTTGATTTCTTCCTCTATTGTTTGATTTCTTCCTCTAGACCTTTTTATTTAATCAATATTTTAATAAGTTTTAATATTGAATTTTATCATCATATTTTAATTGCAGCCAGAGTGAGTTGTTAATTTATTTATCTTATGTTAGATATTTGTATTTTATTTGTGTAAGCTGCCCTGAGGCTTTTGCAAAGGACGGCATACAAATATCCTAAATAAGTAAATATTGTCTTCCACCCAGCACCAGCGAAATGTGGACCGCCGAGAGAGCCCACAAAATAAAATTTGGCACTCAGGCAGAAAGAGGATCAACACCTGTGAGTTTACTGTAGAATGCAGTACTCCTGTTTAAGGTAGTCCATTCGGTTCTCTCCACCTTACCTGTTTCACAAGGTTGTTATAAATATTTTTTTTAAATTGTGGTCACGGGGGCAAGAATCATGCCTTGAGCTGAATCAACTGAAGCTGAATCCAGATAAGATGGAGGCCTGATTGGTGAGCACTCCCACATTCCAACTAGGTAATTTTCAACCCACCCTGGATGGGGTTGCACTCCCCTAGAGGAGGAGGTTTGTAGCTTAGGGGTCCTCCTGGACCCCAAGCTTGCCCTGGTTCCTCAGGTGGACTTAGTGGCCAGGAGCAGCTTCTGTCAGCTTCACCTATTTCTCAGCTATGCTCCTGCTTGGGTGAGTGGAGCCTCGCCACAGTGACCCGGCAGGTAACCTCTCACCTGGACAACTGCAACACGCTTTGAAAACGGTCCGGACATTACAACTAATGCAGAACGGGGCGATGATGGAGGACTAGCTGATCATTGGCTGATTATCCATCAGCTGCATTGGCTCCATTTCGGTCCAGGCCAATTCAAAGTGTTGTCTTCGACATACAAAGTCCTAAACGGCTTGGGACCAGGGTACCTGAGGGAGCGCCTCTTTCCACATATTCCTACCCATCTACTGAGATCCTTTTCAGAAGTCCTCCTCCAAATATCCTCCCTAGCGAGATCCAAGCGGAAAGGGCTTGGAGGAGGGCATTCCCAGCAGTAGCATCCAGATTCTGGAATTTGCTCCCCGGGGATTATCTGCCTGGTAACTAGTTTTCTTTTAGGTGCCAGGCAAAAACTTTTTTATTGAAATGAGTTTCTGGTTGATTTATGTAAACCTTTTATATTTTGTTATGGATTTTTTTATCTATAATTAATTTTGGTTAATTTGTTGCTTGTGTTTACTGGTGTGAGTATATCTTATTTGAGGTGCTATTATTTTATTGTTTTACCTTTTTATCTGATTAATAACTGTTTTATTGTAATTTATACTCTAGCACTGTAAGCTGCCCAGAGAACCTTCAGGTTATGGGGCAGCATAGAAATGGAATTAAATAAGAAAATAAACTGAGTTCCACAAAGGTGGGATATAAATGAGATATGAAGAATACTTATTAATTAACTAAATGGAAAGCTGCTCCCCTTGGGGGCACTCCTGCCACTTTCTCCAGGATAGGGGTGAAGGGCATCTCACCTGCTGCTCCCAGCCCTTAGGCTCACGCTGCTGCCTCCTCAGGAACTCCTCAGCCAAGACCACCGCCTGGGAGCAGGACCCTGGCCCGCCTTCCCGGACCCAGCTCTGCATCTCCAGGGGCAGGACGGCCAGGAACTGCTCCAGGATGACCAGCTCCAGGATCTGCTCCTTGGTGTGCCGCTCAGGCTCCAGCCACAGGCAGCAAAGGGCTCGCAGCTGCAGGCAAACCTCACGGGGCCCCTCAGCCTCCCGGAAGCCAAACTGCCTGAAGCGCCGGCGCTGGGCCTCAGCAGTCATGGAGTCCAGCCTTGAGGCCTCCGCCTTCAGCTTCCCACTGTCCCCTCTGTCCCTCGCCTCCAGGCTGTGGGAGGCTGGCTGCGTTTCTCCTGCTAAGGGCCGGGGCGCCCAGTCCCCTCTGGGCCATATCCAAGCATCAGCAGCACCCTCGAATGGGCTCAGAAACGCCTTGCTGTTCTCCTCCCATGGCACTGGGGCTGGCAGCTGCGGATTACCCCATCCTGGGTGGGGGGACTGGACCACCTTCAGAAATTCCTGCCACGGCCCGTCCCAGCTCTGGTGCACCCCATCTCCAGGTTCCTGCTTCACCTGCTGAGGGGCTGCCCACTGCAGGAGTTCCTTGCTTATCCCAACCTCAGCCATCTGTCCTGCCCTTTTGGCATCCCTGCTTGGTTTGGGCCCGGTCAAGTCTTCCTGCTCTCCTGCCTTCTCCCCAGGCTGGGTTCCCTGCTCCAGCACAGCCTGGAAGTGCGAGCCTAAAGATGTCTCTGCGGTACTTCCCACAGCAGCCATTTTCTCTCACCCTGAAAACAGAAATACAACAATTATCTTGCTGGATCAGACCAAAAGTCTTGCTAACCCAGTTCTCAGCCTCCAATGGAGGCCAGACTAACATACCCAGGAAAGTCAAAACTGGGGACCAATGGTAACAGCTTTTCCTACTTCCCAGCATCTAAGATAACCTGCATCTGGAAGCAGAAACGGCATTTTCCACTGTCACAGCCATTTTCTACTGGTAAAACCATTCTCATCTAAAGCAGATTTAGTTTTGAGTTGGGGCATATATGGAGAATGGGAGAAAGTTGCCAAGGCATTATTTTCCCTCCCTGCCAGAGTGCCTGTGCTTTCAGTGGTCGCATAGCAGACAGAAATTCTGCAGGTTCAGTTTCCTGTATCTGAGGGCAGAAGAGGAGGAATCCTAGTCTATGACAATCTTCCTCCACCAGGCACTCCTCAGACCTTTCACACTACAACTCCCATCATCTCAAGGTGATGAGATGCATAGTACAAAAAATCTGGAGAGCATCCAGTTGGCGGACTGCTGTGGAAAAAGGCGCACAGTTGTTAAAATTCACTCTTCTAAGGAACCGTCCCAGGCACAGACGCCTCAAGCTTTCTGCTCCACCTGTTGAGCTTCTGCCTGCCATACTATTTTTTTAAGATACAGGAATCCCACTTGAGGGGAGGGGACGTGAACAGCTGGAAATAGGAAGGGGAGAACTTGCACAAACGCCCCCAGTTCCCAGCCTGCATGGGATGCCTGTCCCTTTTCCCCGCCCCCACCCGCTGCAGCCCCCCCCCATTCTCTGCCTGCGCGACTCTCCCCCGCCCAGGGGACTTCCCTTCCCCCCGCCCCCCAT